TAGGCAAAACATTATCTCACATACATCTCAGCAATGTTCTCCTAGGGCAGTCTACTCAAGCAATAGAAATAAAAGCAAGAATAAACAAATGGGACCTAATTAAACTTTCAAGCTCTTGCACAGAAAAGGAAACCATAAGCAAAACAAAACAACAACCTACAGAATGGGAGAAAGTTTTTGCAAAAGATGAAACTGACAAAGGCTTGATCTTCGGAATACATAAGCAGCTCATACAACTTAATAAGAAAAAAGCAAACAACCCAATCCAAAAATGGGCAGAAGAGCTGAACAAGCAATTCTCCACTGAAGACATATGAATGATCAATAGGCACATGAAACAATGCTCATTGTCACTAGTTATCAGAGAAATGCAAATCAAAACTACAATGAGATATCACCTTACACCAGTCAGAATGGTCATCATTCAAAAGTTCACAAATGATAAATGCTGGAGAGCTGTGGAGAAAAGGGAACCCTCCTACACTGCTGGTGGGAATGCAATTTGGTGCAGCCACTGTGGAAAACAGTATGAAGATTCCTCAAAAGACTAGGAATAGACTTACCATATGACCCAGGAATCCCACTCCTGGGCATATATCCAGAAGGAACCCTGATTCAAAAAGACACCAGCACGCCAATGTTCATAGCAGCACTATTTACAATAGCCAAGTCATGGAAATAGCCTAAATGTCCATTTGACAGATGACTGGATAAAGAAGCTGTGGTATATTTATACAATGGAGTAGTATTCAGCCATAAAAATGACAACATAATGCCATTTACAGCAACATGGATGTCCATGGAGAGGATCATTCTAAGTGAAGTAAGCCAGAAAGAGGAAAAATACTGTATGATATCACTCATGTGAAATCTAAAAAAATAAAAGAAGACAATAAATGAACTTAAATATAAAACAGAAACAGACTCACAGACATAGAATGCAAACTTGTGATTGCCAGGGGGAGTGGGGTGGGAAGGGACAGATTGGGAGTTTGAAATTTGTAGATATTGGCAGATATGTATAGAATAGATAAACAAGTTTATACTGTATAGCACAGGGAAATATATACACGATCTTGTGGTAGGTCATGGGGGAAAGGAATGTGAAAATGAATGGATGTATATTCATGTATGACTGAAAAATTGTGCTCTACACTGGAAATTGACACAACATTGTAAACTGACTATAACTCAATGAAAAAAAAATCTCTCTGTTAAAAGATTCATTTAGAAAGTAAGTTAAAATAGATGCATAATACTCTGTCTTTAAAATCTTGGATTCTGCTGGTATGGATTAATGATTTATTGTTATAAGGGTTTTGACGCAGGTTACTTCTCTAATTCTACTTCCCCAGCTATTGCATCTTTAACATACTCCTTTTTTTTTTAATTGAAGTACAGTCAGTTACAGTGTGTCAATTTCTGGTGTACAGCACAGTGTCTCAGTTATGCATATACATACATATAGTCATCTTTAATCTCTTTAAATGAAACATTCAAGTTTTAGTTTGTAGGAGAATCACAGTTTCCCTCTTCAATATCACTGTTGAAGATTGGAGTTTAACCTCTCTTTTGCACTGATGGTTACCATGGGCTGTTTTTTTTTTTTCTTTACTTTTTTTCACTTATCCAAAGAGTTAATTTCAACTCCTATTGGATCATCTAGTGACTTCTTTCCTTTTGGTATTCCAGTTGCTTCCTATAGTTACAGCTAACATTTGTTGATCACTGTGTTCCAGGCACTTGACTTGGATTATATGTATCAGTCCTCACAGCAGTCAATTGAGGGTGCTATTATTATTTATCCACATTTTACAGATGAGAAAACTGAGGAGCAAATCAATCAGAGGTCACACAGCCATTAATTTGAACCTAGTCTATTTGACCCAAGAGGTCAAGCATTTAACCATATTGCTCTCATATTATATAAACTTGTACCATACCTATGAGATAAGCTATCTTGATCTTTTTTTACATGTGAGAAAACGAAGGCTCAGAAAAATGAGCTGAGAGCAGTCATGAAGCTAACAGTGACCTTAATAAATTTTGTTATTTACTAGACTTATGCATTCCTTTGTGTCTCAGTTATTTATTCCCTCTCCCTTTTAGGTTTTTCTTTTTTTGTCTGTTAAATATGTATTATATTTCTAGGAAAATTTTACAAGTACTTCAGTTAGCCTCTTTTTTTTTTTTGGAACAAACAAAACATCTACATTGAAACAAAAAAAACACCTGTATTGTGATTCACAAACTAGATTGACTGTACCAAACTATAATGTGCACCATAAACTATCCAAACTCAAATTATTTTAACACCTGCTCTTTCAGTCTCTCTCTGTCTTTAGCTCTGAATAGAGTCTCTTGTAGGCAACATATAGATGAGTCTTATTTATTATTCATTCAGCCACCGTATGTCTTTTGATTGGAGCATTCAGTTAGTCTCTCTTGAATGGTCCTATTTTCTCCAGTTACATGCAACTTTATTCTAATCTCTTTTTCCAGTCCCAACTCTGTCACTAAATATCTAGGATTTATTTTATTTCCTCTTGACTTTTAGTGAAATGCAGTATATACCTGTTTTTATGTCCTATATTGATGGATCTGAAATCCTAACATTTTATACATTTCATTTTATCTCTGCACTTACTCATTTACCACTCCATCTTTCCAGAGATTCACCAGCCTATTTTTACTAAATATGTAGTGTTTATGTTTGAATAGCTGCCTTGATTTAAATTGTTCTTGGTGAGAAAATTATAATATTTTATTAGTGTATATAAATAATGTGTTGGTTGTTTTATATATAATAAAACACTATTAATTCTTAACAGATAACCCTCTTATAAAGAAGGGAGCTGAAACTATTCCAAGTGAGGTAAGGGAACTTGAGAGAGAATTTCTAATAGTTACTATTTTATAAAAGGATAAAATATTTTTAAATGGAGAAATATTTATAGATGTAAAGAAAAAAGCACCCAAGAAGTTATTAAAGGGGCGTGAGGGTACAGCTCAGTGTTAGAGCACTTGCTTAGTATTCACAAGGTCCTGGGTGAAGTCCCCAGTAACTCCACCAAAATAATTAAAAACCTGATTACCTTCCCCCCAAAATTAAAAAATTAAAAAAAGAAGTTATTCATGTTTTCATGTTTATTTTTGTTATAAGAATGTCTTTACACTTACACAATTTATTTAAGTTAAATCACACTGTTAAAAGGGAAGTTTCAGCATCAAATAGTAACATTTAAAATACATACAAATATAGGAGACAAAAGGTATTCACGAACAGAAGGGGAGAAACAAGTTAAAGCATGAAGTGCTGCACGATGATCTTAGAAATGGATGTCACAGACCTAATTACGTTCTTTAGTTTTTTCTCTGTAACAGGACTATATATTCTCTATATTAGAACTATAATAATAGTTATATTTTATAATAGAATTAAGTAGAGTTCACATAATATTGTTTGCTTTTTAGCTAATTTTACAGAAGGTAGTCGTTCCATAGGGCAGTGGATTCCCATGTAAACTAATAAAAAATAAAATGATTCTTCTGTACTACTTGACAATTAAGACAATGATTTCTATTCCTGGGTCAGGGGCTCCCAAAATTCCAACTAAAACTGTTTTCCACAGTCCAAGGAGAGAGAAAAAAAGGTAACATGGAGAATTTTTCTTATGGCGAAGTGTGCTTGGCTTAACAGGCTGTCCTTTCTCTTATGATACTATTCTTTGTACTATTTTGCTGTTAAAACTTCTTTTATGACATAATTGTGATTTTTATGATATTGTTCTTTGTGCCAATTTGCTATAATAAACTTTCCTCTTTTATGATATATTGGTGATAGTATAGTAACAGTAAAATGTCAGACCCCTCAATATTCTTCTTTGAGACATTGCTGATTTATAAAATATGAGTATATGAGAACCACCACTTTATAATGCAGTGTGATCATTTTTATGGATAATATTCTGTAGTCCATGGTTTCAGGCAAGCAGAGAATTTCTCAATGCTTTTAATAAAGAATGTAATAATTTACAAATATTGATGGTAACTTGTTATGATAAAAGATAAAAGTACAAATGATTTTAAGTCTGGTTTGTTAGTTTTAAATATTTCCTAGTCGGTAAAGATTAATCAGTGGCTTTTTTTTTTGATATATTTTCTAGTTACTGGATAATGATGGTAAGAAAGACCTGACTCTACCAACTTTAAACCAGTCAGGTGAAGATGATTCCAGTGTTGTTGCTCCTAAAAGTGGTGCGTCAATAAAGCAAATAGATACTCCATTGCCCACTGTTCCTAGCCTGACATTAACAGAGGAAGACTTAATACCAGCTTTAGAGGAATACCAGCCAGTAGCCATACCAGAGAGAAAAGTGAAAAATGTATTCTTTACATCAGAAGAAATATTGAAGGATAGATGTCCAAGCCTTTTCAAAACAGACTCATCTCCATCAGAGGTAAAATTGAAAAATATTAATATAAATCCAGGTAGAATAAAGAGGAGAAACTTAGATTCATCTCCAATAGAAATTAGGTGGCAAAGCAACAACCTAAGCTTAGCTTGAAGAAAGAACACAAGCTTAGGTTCCCCAGATTCAGAATCAAGAGGTAGCTTTCAAAGCCATGATCCAAAGGAAGACCTTGAACTTTAAAGGTATCTGCCCTCATATTAGAAGTA